AAGATATTTATATTTTATTTAGAATATTTTATTTTAAAATATTTTAATAGTTTCTTTTATGCATATAAATTTTGTATGAGTTATAAACATTTATTTATGTGTGTGAAACGTTTAAAAAAGTCAGAATTTTAAAAAGAATTTTCATAATTCGCAAATACAACATTTATCTATTACTATTGGGTTGTCCGGAAAGTTCGATGTTGAAAGAAAATTGAAAATTTCAATCAGAAGATTTAAATTTTAATATACATTTATTAAATTATATAGATTAGTCGGCACGAACTTTCCAGACAACTCAATATTTATTGATTATTTTTGTATAATAAAGATTCATTCTGGCTGTTCTGAAAGAATGAGATAAACGTGTTTTTCTTATTGTAATTTTAACTCTGAGGTTGAAACGTTTAATTATTTTCAGTGACAGCATTTATAAATTTTCGAGAAATTGGTCATAATTAGTCATGGTGTAAGCAGGACTTACACATAGATGATTTACGTATTATAGGGTAACTCTGGCAAATACGCTGAGATTTACGTCGTAGAAGTCAGAAAAAATAGAAGAAGAGCGAGGATAATTTTCTCGCTACTTTGTTACATGCTTTTATGTTATATTAGTATTGTGTTATGATTTCAGCTTCTTGTAATATTAATATACTTGTAATACTAATATTATTGAAATTTTTGTGAGTGAGTGTAATTGAATTAATTTATCACTGTAATAAGTAACGCTATCATAAATTATAATCTACATAAAATGATTATTGTAAAAGACTTAGTGATTACATCGCGATACATACGTGTAGTGTAATAGTAAAAAAAATACAAGTGCTTTGCTTTTGTATTTTTTGTTTAGTTTATTGTCTTATATATCCCACCTATTTGGGATATACGGCATTTTTAGCGAGCGGCCCATTTATGCCCAAAGCGTACAAAGTGCGCAGATTGAATTCAATGCACCAAATACAATAAACGCATTATATGTACGAAATATGTATCTCATGTAATAATATTTGTAATATATGTAGGAAGAAATTGTAATTATTATTTATTACTTCATATATATA